TCGAAGACCAATGTACATGACTGTCAACTCCATAGCCGACCTCTCTTCATGCACCAGGTATGTATCTCGTCACCCTCAATCAGACCTTGATTACCCCACACAGCGCCTCCTTCCTGAAGACCACCAGATCACCCGCTGTACCCCCTGGCGCCCAGCAGCGCAGCTATGGCTGCCTGCGCCCAGCTGCCCTGCAGCGCCCTTCCTTACCTCTACGCGCCACGTCGGCGCTTTTGGCAGCAGCGCAGCATCAAGCGAGAGCGCAGCAGCACTTCCGCATTGCCAGCACTGGCCAGAATACCTCGCCTGGGCTGCCTCACTCCTTTTGTGGAAGTGGAAGCCTCCTGGATGCTGCGTGTGGCCTGGCTGGAAGCTTCCAGTAGTTTCCGGTTGGGCCAAATTACATGGAAATGCACCTTTGGCTTGCTGTTTTATATGTTTTTAATTGCTTTTTTTAGGGGTTTTTTCTGTGATGGGGTCGTAAGAAGTGCACTCTATAGATTGGTGTGAAGTGTTGTTAAAATGACTGTCTGGTTTTCTTATAAATGGGCCTGAAAAATGGGTGCTCGGTTAACCTGCTCTCGTCTGAAAAATGGGTGCTCGGCACAAGAGGTTAACGGGGCATCTGGTTTTCAGGCCTGAAATTTCTGAAATTAGGGTTTTGGGCTCAAATTTCATGTTTTTTTGGAATTTCAAGCTTTTGCTATATATGCATTTTGATAGGGTTGCCGTATATGAAATTTGGGGTTATTTGGAGTTTTAGAATTTGCGCTATTAAAATTTCTGAAATTTCTGACTACAGTTGAGGGCCTGGGCCCTCTGCAGTTAGGCACGGCCTGAGTCTCCGGACTTGGGCTGTTTGCTGCATCTGTGCAGGGCTCCCAGGCAGGTGCGTCGGCACTACTGCTTTTGCAAAGGCCGAAGGCCTGCTTCCCAATGTATCGGCCCTGCTTTGTGTATGTGTGCCCAGGCGCAACTGTCAAGGCCTGGGCCAACTGTATGACGCAGCAATGTGAGGCTCACGCGTCTACCCAACCAACAGGCGTGCTGCGAGAGCCTGAATACCCACATATGGAAATGTCCAATTTCGCCTCTGACGAATATTCAGGCCCGCCTTCACTTAGGGCGCGCACTTTGGCTTGCTTGGGGCCTTAGCCCAGAACAATGTGATGTCTGATAGGGCCCCTTGAGGGCTTGTTCCTCACATTCCATCCCCCTTAGCTTCGAAAGTCCGCTGAGATGCTTCATGCTGGTGCCTTCCCCTTCAGTTTCTTCTCATAATCTGCCACAATCTGAGGATCTGCCTTGACAAGTTCCTCCTTTGAAATCCATCGATCTTCCTTCGGATCAGAATGATGCCTGAAATGTACTCTGTACTCCCTCGCAGGTTTGGGAGGTCTTCCCCTGCCAGGTGGCTTGGGAACAGGCGTGTCTCTGTGATCCAAGATGTCTTCGATGTCCACGTGGCCACCATGGTTGGGGGCAGCATAGATCTCCGTGATGGGAACTGTGCTGTCTCAGTGAAGGGTGCAAGCTTGGAGGCGTGAAAAACAGGGTAAGTGCGTAAGTGACCAGGGAAATGAATGACGTACGAGGGACCATCCAAATCATTCCCCACGATGTCTAAGACTTCCCAGGGACGGAAATAATGAGGCATTAGTTTCCTAGAGATGCCAAACTCCTGTCCCAACTCACTAGTGACCCAGACACGTTCCCCTACCTGAAATGTGGACTGTCGGCGATGCTTGTTCTCAGAAGCAATCATGGCTACCTGAGATTTCTTGATGTGTTCGACAGTCTGCTGCAACAATTTCTCATACTGGACACCAAATTCAATGGTTCCAAGAGTTGCAGCAGTTCGGTTTTCAGGCAGGAGGAAGTCTAGAGCAGATCTGGGCTTCCATCCCAGATGCAGTTGATTAGGACTGGCGTCGGCGGTCTTGTGTACAACACTATTGTACAGGCTGGCGATGAGAGGTAATTTCTCATCCCAGTCGTCCTGGCTGGGGTTGATGTAATGCCTCAGCAGATGCTGCACCACACGGTTCATCTGTTCAGCCTGCCCATTTGCTTCGGGATAATTCCCAGAAGTCATCTGAAGCTGGTTGCGCATCTGTTCAGCGGCCTTCTTCCACATCTCACTTGTGAAACGCACATCCCTGTCACTAACGATTGTCTTCGACAGTCCAAAGTCACGCACCCAGTTGTCCATGAACAACTTAATGGCGTGCTCAGTCCTGGCAGTCTCCGACATGGCAATTAGTCTAGCGTACTTAGTGAACCTATCCACTATGACGAAGATGTGCCTCTTGCCATTTTTGCTGGCCACTAGAGTATCCATGAAGTCCATGGAGATACTCTGCCCTGGGCCAGCAGGAATGGGTAGAGGCTTGAGTAAGCCAAGCGGAGCTTGAGTCCGCGGCTTGTCTCGCTAACAGACCTGACAGGTCTCTACGTACTTTTTCACATCGTCTAGCATGTTAAGCCACCAGAATCGTTGTACTAAATTAACACTAGTCTTCTTATAGCCGCAATGTCCCGTTGCGTCGTGACACTCACCTAAAAATAAACTACGCAAACTTTCCCTAGATGGAACGACTAACCTTTTGAACCCTGCGATTCCAAGAAAGAGTAGTCCATCCACCATCACAAACTCGTCAGTGGTGGCCTTGTCTTTGGCCTGTAGTTTGTTGATGATGTCCATTGTGATGGGATCTTCCTTGTAGGCTTCCTCCAAAGATCGAGTCACGTCCTCAGATAAGCCAAACTCATAAATCAGCGCGCCCAAGTAATTTGCCCTTCTAGACAGCGTCTGCAACCTTGTTGTACTCTCCCTTCACATAGTCTAGATCGAAGTCATACTGATCAACGACTTCAATCCAGCGTTTGAGTGCATCGGAGAGATCGGTTTGTGTCTTGATCCACTTGAGGGTCTGATGGTCAGTTCTCAAGTAGAAGAACTTTCCTAACAGATAATGCCTCCAGTGGACAAGTGCCTTGTAGAGAGTGTAGAGTTCCCTCTCGTAGGTGGACTTTGCCAACTTCTTTGATGATATTTTTTTGCTCATAATTATAGTAAAATATATTACCGACTCTGGTTCGGAACCGGTCTCAACTTTTTCCCTTCCTCCTAAGCCAGCACTGCGCCAATGCCATATTGGCTTGCGGCAGTGGTTACAACAAATGGCCTTTGTGGGTCAGGTACCATGAGAACCTCATGGTGCGTGACAGCATGTTTCAATTGCTTGAAAGCTGCCCCACACTCGTCGGTCCAGTCCCATGGTGTGTCAAGTCGAGTTAGATCAGTCAAGGGAGATGCGATCGTACTATAATTCTTTACGAAGTTGCGGTAATATAACCACACATTCCCAAGAATGATCTGACCTCAATCAAAGACGGGGTTCGTGGCCAGTCCCTAATGCTAGCCACCTTCGCATCTTCGGGCCTAATCCCATCCGCGGATACTTCATGACCCAAGTACAAGATTCGAGTGCGACCGAACTCGCATTTCTCTGCATTTATCTTGTACTTGTGCTGTTGGAGAAATGAAAGTACCTTGTCTACATGTTGGGCATGCTCCTTGACAGTGCTACTAAAAATAAGTATATTGTCGAGGTACACGACGACAAACTTATCCAAGTAGTCATGGAAGATCCTATTCATGGCGTGCTAGAATGTACCCGGTGCATTGCAAAGGCCAAAGGGCATCACCAGAAACTCGTACAAAACGTACCTGGTATGAAATGCGGTTTTGTGCTGGTCCTCTGGTCTGATGGCAATCTGATGGTAGCCGGAGTTTAAGTCTATCATTGTATAATACTTACATCCCTGCACCCTATCCAGTAGGTCGTCGATGCGTGGTAACGGTGATGGCATTGAGGCCTCTATAATCAATGCACATCCTTAGTGTTCCCCCTTTCTTTGGAACAAACATGACTAGTGAGCCAAAGGGGGAAGAGCTAGGCTGAATCCAACCCTTTTCTTTGAGCTCTTTCAGTTGTCGACGAAGCTCGTCCAACTCGCAACCAACGGTCCCGCCACACTTCTTGATCCAAGCCTTCCCTAACCTAAGTTGCTATTTTGTTTGGGTTGGCGGACTGCCCCTGACTCATTTGCTGACTGCCCTTGCCGCAGCCCGCTGCCTTAGTCTTAACTACTGCGGCGATATTGCTACCCTCAACACTCTCCTCGTCGTCTAACTTTGCACCCTCCACTTCAGAAACATCACCGATTTCAGTTTGATTCCCTTCGGAATCAACCATCATCAATCGACTACCCTTCTTCCATTCCTGCGGAGTCTTCTTCTTTCTCCCGTCCGTAGAAGGGGTCTGAGCACTACCCAGTGTAGCCTCTAAATCTAGGGCCTTCTTACTGAATGTCTCAAACGTGTGATACTCTATCCGAGCCTCGCTGGCCAGTAAGTTCTTGATGTCTGTGGGAAGACATCTCAACAGCATGGTCAATAAGACTTGTGGATTGTACTCCACTCCGGGGACCACAATCAGGCGCTCTACGGTTGTGGTAAGCTCACGCACAGACTTGTACTTCCTAGCATCAAGCTTTAATAACCCATCGGTGGCAATCTGTGCCTGTCGAGGGTTGTGCCCTCGTGCTTCCACTAGATCCATAAATCTTTCTAGGGTGTGGGTCTACGCCCAATCACCCATGTTCCTCTCGAACCCCTTCAAAGCTATCAATCCATTTAGCCAACGAGTTGTTGAACCCTCTGTAGGATGCAGCAGTAATCACTTCCTCTTCTACCAATGTCCTCTTTGCCCTCACCCACACTGGAACCGTTCTCAACCACGTGTCGATAGCCTCATCCTTCTTGTCTCCTGAGAAGGTGGGAGGTGGCTTCAGGGGGGGATACCAAGGAATTGTTGTCCCGCTGGCGAGACAGGTGGCGACTGTTGTGTAGCACCAGACGCTGGACCGGAAGATGAAGAAGCAACAGTCTGAGATAGGGTTGTTGTTGGTGTACCATGGTGCGGACTGAGCGGCACAGGGGCCTGTCGTCGCTGAGAATGACTGCTGGCCTGATTCCTGGCCTGTGCATGGCGTTCAGGATCTGGTCCAAGGTGTCTTGGATTGTATCCAGTTTACTGTCCATGTATGCATGCATGGACAGGATGCTCGCCTTAAGAATCTTTTCATTATTGCTAAGGGTCGAGTCATCTAGCCCCTCTAGTGCAGCCTTGTCTGCCTGCCTACCCTCTAGTCTGACACTCCTATCTCTAATCTCCTTCTCTCTTTTAGTAGCCTGTCTGAGTTCCTCCTCTAGCCTTAAGTGAATCCTTTCTACTTGTTGGAGCTCCATCTGCTCCCGCTGCGTGGAGGTGGCGAGCTGAACTGCGAACCCGCCATCTGACTAGTGCCAATTGCTGGCGTACTGAAGATGGACTGTGAACTGGTTGCGTTGGGTGGCATACCCAAACTCTGACCAATAGAGTTTGCAACAGAAGTGGTTGAAGAGGTAGCCATTGCTACCGCGCTAGATGCTGCTGCTGCTAACGCGCGTTCAGCCGCTGCTGCTGCCTCTCTCGCAGTCTCTAGATTGCGGGCCCTTGTCTCGACCCTAAGCCTTCTCTCGTCTCCTTGTAGTAGAACCTGGAACACAACGGGTATCCTACCGGTATCCCGTCGTGTTTGCCTCCTATCATCAAATTTATCCTCCCCACCCTCTAATCCGCTCATGGGCTAGGCAGACACTGTCTGCACTAATGTCCTCTCTGGGACCTACCGCAGCATACGCCTGACTGGTTCTAAAAATAAATAAAATAATTGATGTCCGACGAGTTACCTAGACTACTAGTCAAGCGACATCAACAGCACCTACACGGACTGTACACACGTAGTTCACTTCTATCCTAATTAGTTCTGCATAGAAGCTGTGTTAAGACCTGACTATGGTAGATTACAGTTCTACACTAGGCTGTCTGTTTGGTGTTAGCAGTCTGTCAACCAACTAATCAAGATAAAAATAAACTACACTGAGCACATGTATGCACAATGGGTAAAGTAGTGATGTTCAGTTGAATTCACAATTGGAATCTCCTTCCCCTGTATCCAACGTACCTGTGAGCATCATCAAGCTACGGTGTCTAAGGTGTGCAACCACGGCCCACCCCTGTGCCCAAGAAGTATGCTTATGACCAGCTTGCCCTTTGTTTACCCTCGCGTGCAACGAGCCTTACGTCTGACTGATCTGGCTGATCAAGAGGCAATTTAAGGACAACCCCAGGGAGTCCTCAGGAATTCTATAACGTCGCAATCAGGACGACGATCACAGCCAATGGACAGTTCATACCCCAACCAGAAATGTTTATAGACGGTCTGGGAGCGTCTCCGTAGGACTTGTCAGTCCGCACACCCCTTCTATCAGCGCAGCAAAGAGCCTGAATGGAAAAAGCAGGATGGCCTGCGTGTACTACTCCCATGGGTTGGCATGGTGACCGTGACTCGTGCTTCGACCAGGGCCCTTCAGAGGCACCGCCCTCTATTGCCAGATGCGCCACCGGGAAGAATGTCATCTCTCAAGGTAGGGCACACACGACTCCTCACCAAAGAGAGGACACTCAAGTTGGACTCACTTCCTCATGGTAAGAAGAGATTGAGAGGGTGGATAAGGAATGGGAACGACGTACTCGGAGATAGCTGCCCCCAACCACAAATTTCTCACCAATTGGGCCGACGTGCATTTCGATGACCGGTCAATAGCCTCGGTACCACCCACAACGCAATGTAGTGCCACCTTAGCCAAAATGTCACGTCAGCATACTCTCATCATCATACACACATCCGCTGTCGCCATAGCTTCCACGCTGTCGCCACAGTGTTCCAGCGGCCGGCCTCTCCACCTAGGCCCCGCTAATCAACCAGCGCCAAAGTATCCTTACTGCACATGAAGCATCGCTAGCGCACCAAGTAACAATGTCGCCGGTGCCAGGTAAGCGACGATCGCGAACCGACTCCGATACCAAATTGCAAGGAATATGAGAGTGAACGATATACAGAAAACCAAGATGCGAAATCACACAGATGTCCAGATAGTCGTATCCAAGCAGAGAGTACAAAATGCACCGAGAAACCATCCATATAGAGCAATACAATGAAGTAATGAGCCAATGTCCAAGCCCGTAGGCCACACCAACACAGTATCCAAAGTCGC